CACCGAGAATCCCCCCTTGATGTACTTTACTCTCTACTTTCTTGTCACCTGCCTCCCTGACACTCTTTGCTCAGTCAGGGACCACTTCGTTGCCCTAGACCCTACCACTCTCACTGTCGCCGACTTCGAGAAGCACCTCCTAGCAGCCGAACAGAACATTCTCGCTGTAGGTGCTGCTCGTGGCACTCCCCGCACTCCCCTCTTTGAGGGGTGCTCCCCCTCCCCTCTTGCCCCCTCTTATGCCTCTGCTGCTGCTTGAGTCAACTTCCTTGGTGCTAGGAAAGTCGCAGCTGCTTCCGCTCCTAGTGAGAAGCGCAGCACCGCCAGGGGCGGTAGGGGTGGTGGAGGTGGCGGTGGAGGGGGTGGTGGTGGAGGCGGCAGGGGAGGTGGAGGTGGTGGGGGTGGTCGTGGGGGTGGAGGTGGTGGTGAGGGCGGCGGTGGTGCTGGGAGTAGTAGTGGTGGCAGCGGCGGTAGTGGGGGAGGAGGGAGTGGTGGTGGCAGCGGTGGTGGGGGCTGGAGTGGAACCGGCCAGAAGGGGGGCTCCAGTGGTGACCAGGGGCAGCGGCAGCAGCAGCAGCGTCAGCGCCAGACCCCCACGTCTCAGCAGCTTCATGATTGGTACGCTCAGCGTGGGGCGTCTGGGGGTCCTAGTCGCTGTTCCTATATCATTCGCGCAGGTCCCCGCGCTGGTCGCCCATGCAACGGTTTTCACACTGAATACCGCTGCTTCACCCGGCTTAGCGACGCCTGGCGCGCCAAGTTTCCTGACGCTACTGAGTTCCCCAAGTGGGCACAGCTGCTTAGGCGTGATGTTCCTATCTTTGATCTTGACTATGATGCAATTCTTGCTGCCATGTATGCATTGACTGTTAGTGCTGAGGGTGACTGCTACTTGTGTATGCCGCCTGATCCAGGTATAGAGGCTGCAGCCCTAGGTGCTAGTGAGTCTCCTCTCCCTGGTACTGCGTCAGCTCAGGCCTTGCACACCTTTACACTTAACTCTGGTGCTTCCCGCTGTTTCTTTTGCGATAACACAACAGTCACTCCCCTCCCTGCACCTGTCCCTGTCTCACTGACTGACCCCTCTGGGGGCCCAGTGCTTGCACGAGCCACGACTGTGCTTCCGTGCCCGGCAGTCCAGTCTGGTGAGCTGTCAGGTCTCCACATCCCCTCGTTCTCTACGAACCTGGTGAGAAACGCCGTCCTTTTGGATCATTGGGTTGACACCTGGAGTCCAGGAGGACAGCGTGTGGCAATCCTCACGTGCTCCAAGACTGGCCGCCACCTTGCCACGTTCACTCGTGAGCCTGGGTCCAGTCTGTACACCCTCACCGCTGTTTCACGCTACACCCCTTTGTCTCCCCAGCTGTATGCGTCTGCTCAGGTAGCTACCTAGTGTGAGTGTCGCCGCCTGTCGCACGACACTCTCCTGTGGCACCACCGCCTTGGTCACCCCTCCCTGCCCCGCCTTCGTGGCATGCACTCTCGCTCCCTGGTCTCTGGTCTTCCCAGGTCTGTGCCTGCCCTCCCTCCCTCGCCTGCGCCACCCTGCATTCTTTGCGTCGAGGGGCAGCAGCGCGCCGCTCCTGACTCCTCCTCGTTCCCTCCCACAGAGGCTCCGCGGCAGAATCTCCACCTGGACGTGTGGGGCCCAGCCCACGTCCAGGGGCAGGGCCGCGAGCGGTACTTCCTGCTGGTTGTCGACGACTACACGCATTATACCACGGTCTTCCCCTTGCAGCGCAAGGGGGATGTCCCTGCTATTCTGATCCCTTCGATTCGCGCTGTTCATCTCCAGCTCCGCAAGCGGTTCGATTCGGACTTTACTGTCCTGCGTCTGCACTATGACAGAGGTGGTGAGTTCACCTCCGACCTCTTGCGAGCCTTTTGTGAGGAGCACGGCATCTGCCGGTCTTTCACACTTCCGGCCTCTCCGCAGCAGAATGGGGTTGCTGAGCGCCGCATTGGCTTAGTCATGGAGGTCGCTCGTACCTCCATGATCCATGCGGCGACTCCCCATTTTCTGTGGCCGTTTGCGGTACGGTACGCCGCGCATCAGCTCAACCTCTGGCCCCGTGCCTCCTTGCCGGAGACCTCGCCCACACTGCTGTGGACGGGGAAGGTTGGCGATGTGTCACGATTCCGGGTCTGGGGTGCTCGTGCCTTTGTCCGCGATACCACCGCGGACAAGCTCTCCGCTCGCGCCATTCTCTGCGTCTTCCTTGGTTTCCTCCTGACGCGCCTGGCTGGCAGTTTTACGACCCCGCCTCGCGCCGTGTCTTTGCGTCTCAGGACGTCACCTTTGACGAGTCAGTCCCCTTTTACCGTCTCTTTCCCTACCGCACTGCCCCTCGCCCCCCTCCCCGCCGCTCTTTCGCGCTCCAGGTCCTCCCCAGGTAGACCCCCTCCCCGCGCCAGGTCCTGTTCCTTCAGGTGTGTCTCTGGTAGACCCTCCTGTGCCTGAGCCTGTTGAGGTCACTTGTGACTCAGGTCTTGCTGGGGGTGGTCCTGCTCGGGCTGCTGTCTCTGGGGGTGCTGAGCCTGGGGGTGTAGAGTCTGGGGGTGCTAAGCCTGGGCGTGAGGAGCCTGGAGGTGTGGAGCCTGGGGGTGCGGAGTCTGAGGGTACTGAGCCTGAGCGTAAGGAGCTTGAGCGTGCTGAGCCTAGAGGTGCTGAGCCTGAGCGTGAGGAGCCTAGAGGTATTACGCCTGGGGGTGCTGCTTCTGGGGGTGCTGAGCCTGAGCGTGAGGAGCCGGGGGGTGCGGAGTCTGGGGGTGCGGCGCCTTAGGGTGCTGAGACTGCTGGTGCGCGGTCTCCTTGGAGTGGCCGCCTTCGTCCGCGTGCGCCTCTCTCCCCTCAGCAGCTGCAGAGTGGTACGCTCGCCGTCAGGTCGCGCTGCTGGAGCTCGGGGCTCTGCCTCTGGAGGTACTTCTGCTGCCGTCGCTGGAGCTGGGAGTGGTATACTGGTACTTTGTCTACTGGAGGTGCTGGAGTCGCTGGTCCCGGAGGTGCTCGTACTAGAGGTACTAGAGCTGCTGGGGCTGGAGGTGCTGCGTCTGGGGGTGCTACTGTTGGAGACACTGAGGCTGAAGACACTGGGACTGGAGGTGCCAGTTTTGAGGGTGCAGCTGGAGACACTGAGGCTGGAGACCTTGGGACTGGAGGTGCTGGTTCTGGGGGTGCTGCTGCTGAAGACACTGAGGCTGGAGACCCTGGGACTGGAGGTGCCGGTTCTGGGGGTGCTGCTGCTGCTGACGCTGGTCCTGGAGATGCTGGCGCTGGAGCCTTTGGAGCTGCTGGTGGAGCTGGTGATGGAGGTGCTGGCGCTGGAGGTTCTGGAGCTGCTGGAGGTGCTGGAGCTGCTGGCAGTACTGGAGCTGCTGGAGGTGCTGGAGCTACTGGTGCTGGTGGCACTGCACAGCCGCGACTATTCTTCGCTCCGCCGTCTCCGTCGTCTCAGCCACCGCCTGGCTCTGTGCTTTGCCAGGTTCTTAGCCTCCCGTCTTCTACTGGTCTTCCGTTACAGCCTGGCTCACCGCTGCCTGCTCCTTCTCCTTACACTGAGCAGCCAGGGGGTCTTGCTGAGCGTCGTGTGCGTGCGTCGCGTCTTGTCTCGCCTGTTCGTTCTGGTCGTACCGGTAGTCGTGTTCCTCGTCCGCGTCCGCCGGCTGTCTCCGGCACGCACCTCATGGCCCTTCATCCTTCCTCTGCTCCGCAGCGTGTTCCTCTGCCGTCTCCCCCTGCGTCCTCTCTGCCTGACGTTGCCGACACTGAGTCCGGCCAGTTTCGTGCTGCACACCCTACTGTCACGCGTCTGTTAGCCACTGTTGTCACTGACCCGTCGTTTGAGTCTGCTGCTGCGTCTGCCTTGGTTGCTGAGCTTGTTGACTTTGCTGCTGCCTGTCGTCTAGAATACGGTGCTAGTCTTGTTGCTGAGTCTGAGTCTGTCTGTCCTCCGTCTGTCGGGGGTGAGTGTGCTCTTGGCATGGACGTCCTTGAGGACAGACAGGAGGACTTTGAGTGTCTTGCGGCCGCTTTGCCTCATCTCGTGGTCATGCTGCTTGCCCCTGAGGGAGACCCGGATGCACCAGAAAACCGCCGCGCGCCTCGGGGCGACATTATGATCCACCCTGAGCTTGTTCTGCTTTGCTTGCTCTGCTGATTACACCCCACTTTGGCTATGGGGGTGTGTCAGAATGTTATGCTCTAGCCTGTAGTGGGGTGCTCTATAGCGAGTACAACCCTTCTAGGGTTTGCTATTTGTATCCCCATTCTTGCTAGTTCAATCCTCTTCTTTCTTCTTAATCTTTCACAGCCATTGCTCACTGAAACAGCACGCGTGATAGATTTCGCACGATTGCCTGACAAGGCTCGCTGAAACAGCACGTGCCAAAGATTTCGCGCGACCGATTCATTGAACAGCAATGTAATTTTCCGAGTCCGAAAAACAGCGTTTATAACGAAATCGCTTGCATGGACCAGTTTGACAAGGGGTCACCCTGATAGAGGTCCGTAGGAACACGCTCTCACACATCGATCCTGATCGATGTTTCAATTGTGACGCATCCTAAGAGAGGGCGAGGGGGGAATGGGAGGCGGGGAAGGTATTGTGTGTGCGCTAGGCTGACTGGGAAGGTGGTTCTGCGAAGGTGGCGCAGTTTGAGTGAATACAGTGACATTTGAATGCATTACATCCTTGATGCATTTTGTCAAGTCTCTACACTGTCAAACTTCCAAATGCCTTACCAAAGCAATTTCTCCACTCCCTATCCAACCCTCCCCCTGTTGTGCTAAAGCAACTAGACACCGCACCAGTCTCTGCACCTACGTCGTGAACCTCATGGATCTCATCCTGAGCCAGAAATCGTTTTGGGATGCTCTGGTAATGACGAAGTCAGAAAGGGAGGGAGGGGAGTGGAAGGAAGGAAAGCAAGAGTGAAAAGGGGAGGGAAAGACGTGAAAGGCGATTGGTGCACACAAAGTACGGTAAGAAGCCACTCACCTGATGAGTTGTGCAAATAAAGGAGTGATTGGCATTCCCCTGTCAAGCAGAAGCTCCCCCGTACAGTTGTTGCCGGTCCAGTATTCGCGTGACCTGAAGAGCGGCGTGCCGTCGTTTGTATTGAACACTAAGTATCGTCTCGTGAAGTTGCCAACCCTCTCCTTGGGAACTGGCGTGCATGTATTGATGTTGGCACGCACAGTGTACGGGCGGGATCCACCGTCTCTTACTCGGTCGCTATCGAACGTCATACTAGCTGCTCCCACCGTAGACACGCCACCTGGATAATGTGTGGTGGAAGCGGCAAGCGGGGCACAAAAAAGTGGACTGTTCATGCGCTTGGCCTGGTTGCCCGATCTCTAGCAAAAATGTGAAGCAGTGAAGTGCGGATGCTGTATTGCTGGAACCACTGTAGCACACTCATGCCGCCGAATGCAGGCCCACCTGTCAGGCGCACGTATGGGCCATCCAGTTGGCGGCAGACTACATGCAGTAATTCACATGCAGTAATTCACATGCAGTAACTCACATGCAGTAATTCACATGCAGTAATTCACATGCAGTAAAGCACATGCAGTAATTCACATGCAGTAATTCACATGCAGTAATTCACATGCAGTAATTCACATGCAGTAATTCACATGCAGTAATTCACATGCAGTAATTCACATGCAGTAATTCACATGCAGTAATTCACATGCAGTAATTCACATGCAGTAATTCACATGCAGTAATTCACATGCAGTAATTCACATGCAGTAATTCACATGCAGTAATTCACATGCAGTAATTCACATGCAGTAGGGCACATGCAGTAAGGCACATGCAATAAGGCACATGCAATAAGGCACATGCAGTAAGGCACATGGCACATGCAGTAAGGTACATGCAGTAAGGGACATGCAGTAAGGTACATGCAGTAAGGGACATGCAGTAAGGCACATGCAGTAAGGCACATGGCACATGCAGAAAGGCACATGCAGTACAGCACTGTGTTTCATCCAGCCTCAGGGTAGTGGTACCTCACCTTTGATGCAAGCGTCTTGAGTCATGCCATAGCCAGCAGGACACACGCAGTACGGAGCAAGGGAATTTTCCATTATTTCGAGTGTGGTATTGCAGGTGGCTCCAGTGGGGCACCTGCCACATGGCGTGTCTGAGAAACGCAGTAGAGGCAAGAGAGGGTGCAGCAGGGCAGTTTCATTAAAGGTGGGCAAGAATAGGAAGCGCCTTTGTTTTTAAAACAAAGGCAAGCAGTAAGTATCAATGCAGTGGTAAATCAGCATGAAATCACACCGTCCCATGACAGGCCCATGTGCGTCGAGGTCGTTCTTGAGGCGCCTCAAAAACAACAGGCCCATGTGCGTCACACCATACTAGCACATGCCTCGTCCAGTGCTACTTACCCCATTTACAATAGAGCAATCCAGTGCTGTTATCCTTTGCACAAGTCCCACCCGGCGAGCAGCCTAGAGCAAAGCATTTAGAATCTGAAACACAGAGATGGGAGTATAGCAGGTGTGTGACGAGTGCAGAGAAGGAAGGAGAGATAAGAAGATACGACAGAAAAGGCTACGAGGAGAATGGAAGCGAAAAGAATTGCAGCACAGGAGTACCTCTCAACACAAGAGCTCACCTAAACACAGGATCACCTTTGATCACAAGAGCCATTTGAAGGACTGAGTTTCAAAAGCAAGGCATGCCCTCTGTGTTGCACCCCTCTGACTCACCAATGCAAGAGAGCTTGTCAAAAGACAGCTTAAAGCCAGTGCTGCAACTACAGGATGGATTTCCGTTCGCATCCCTCGTGCAGTTGCCACCAGGCCCACATTTCACCGCATCACAGTTGTCTGCAGAAAAAAGAGACCCATGCAAATGGACGAATACCATGATGCAACGAATACCCTGATTTTGACAACCGAGCGACAAAGTCAAGTATGCACGCAATTCAGTAACTCTTGCAAAAATTTTGGGCTGAGGGAGGCCAAGTTTCAAGGACTGGTTTTGACACGCAAGACGACACATCACACGCCCTCTGTGTTGCACACTCTCAAACTCACCAATGCAAGAAAGCTTGTCAGAAGACTGCTTGAAGCCTGTGTTGCAACTACAGGATGGATTTCCTTCTGCATCCCTCGTGCAGTTGCCGCCAGGCCCACACTTCACTCCATCACAGTTGTCTGCAGAATACAAAAACAATGCAGATGGAAGGATATTATGATATCACAAAAATTATAATACTCGAACCTTAACAATACAAGGTCACAAGTTAAAAAATGTCTCATATGGGTATCACTTGCAAGGAAATTGAGTTGTGGGAGGGACAAGATTCAAGAACATTGTTTGAGACGCAAGGCACGCCCCCTGTGTTGCACAATCTTCAACTCACCAATGCAAGAGAGCTTGTCAGAAGACGGCATGAAGCCAGCGCTGCAAATACAGGATGGATCTCCGTTCGCATCCCTCGTGCAGTTGCCGCCAGGCCCACACTTCACGGCATCACAGTTGTCTGCAGAAAAGGAAACACATGCAATTTCAAGAATATCATATTATAAAAAAAAACTTCAATACCCAGATATGGACAATCAAGGGTTACAAAGTCAAGTGTGCATGCAATTTAGTAACAATCGTAAGGAAATCAAGTTGTAGGGAGGCCAAGTTTTACAGTTGCCAAGTTGCACTCCACCAACTCACCAATGCAAGAGAGCTTGTCAGAAGACGGCGTGAAGCCAGCGCTGCAACTACAGAATGGATCTCCGTTCGCATCCCTCTCGCAATTGCCGCCAGGCCCACAATTCACGGCATCACAGTTGTCTGCAGAGAAGCAACCCAGACAAATGGTAGGATGTTGTGATATAAAAAACACAGCCATCACAAAATCTTGACAATCAAGGGTCAAAGATTGGAAGAAATTCAGTAACATCTGGAAAACCCATGACCTGAAAATAAACGAGGTTAATATGACTGGGTTTCAAATGCAAAGCACCCTCTTTTCTTGTCTTGCACTCCTCCAACTCACCAATGCAAGAGAGCTTGTCAGAAGACAGCGTGAAGCCAGCGCTGCAACTACAAGTTGGATCTCCATTCGCATCCCTCTCGCAGTTGCCGCCAGGCCCACACTTCACGGCATCACAATTGTCTGCAAAGAAGCAACCCAGACACGTGGTAGGAGATTGTAATATCATCAAAGTAGTCAGATTTATATGATTGGATTATATATGCAATGCACCCTCTCTCTCTGTGTTGCACTCCTCCAACTCACCAATGCAAGAGAGCTTGTCAGAAGACGGCGTGAAGCCAGCGCTGCAACTACAGGATGGATCTCCGCTCGCATCCCTCATGCAGTTGCCGCCAGGCCCACACTTCACGGCATCACAATTGTCTGCAAAGAAGCAACCCACGCAGATGGTAGGATATTGTGATATCACAAACACAGTCATTACCAGATCTTGACAATCAAGGGTCAAATATTTGAAGGCATTCACTAACATCTGGAAAGCCCATGACCTGAAAATAAGCGAGGTTAATATGACTGGGTTTGAAATGCAAGGCACCCTCTTTTCTTGTCTTGCACTCCTCCAACTCACCAATGCAAGAGAGCTTGTCAGAAGATGGTGTGAAGCCAGCGCTGCAACTACAGGATGGATCTCCGTTCGCATCCCTCTCGCAATTGCCGCCAGGCCCACAATTCACGGCATCACAGTTGTCTGCAGAGAAGCAACCCAGACAAATGGTAGGATATTGTGATATAAAAACACAGCCATCACAAAATCTTGACAATCAAGGGTCAAAGATTGGAAGAAATTCAGTAACATCTGGAAAACCCATGACCTGAAAATAAACGAGGTTAATATGACTGGGTTTCAAATGCAAAGCACCCTCTTTTCTTGTCTTGCACTCCTCCAACTCACCAATGCAAGAGAGCTTGTCAGAAGACAGCGTGAAGCCAGCGCTGCAACTACAAGATGGATCTCCATTCGCATCCCTCTCGCAGTTGCCGCCAGGCCCACACTTCACGGCATCACAATTGTCTGCAAAGAAGCAACCCAGACACGTGGTAGGAGATTGTAATATCATCAAAGTAGTCAGATTTATATGATTGGATTATATATGCAATGCACCCTCTCTCTCTGTGTTGCACTCCTCCAACTCACCAATGCAAGAGAGCTTGTCAGAAGACGGCGTGAAGCCAGCGCTGCAACTACAGGATGGATCTCCGCTCGCATCCCTCGTGCAGTTGCCGCCAGGCCCACACTTCACGGCATCACAATTGTCTGCAAAGAAGCAACCCACGCAGATGGTAGGATATTGTGATATCACAAACACAGTCATTACCAAATCTTGACAATCAAGGGTCAAATATTTGAAGGCATTCACTAATATCTGGAAAGCCCATGACCTGAAAATAAGCGAGGTTAATATGACTGGGTTTGAAATGCAAGGCACCCTCTTTTCTTGTCTTGCACTCCTCCAACTCACCAATGCAAGAGAGCTTGTCAGAAGATGGCATGAAGCCAGCGCTGCAACTACAGGATGGATCTCCGTTCGCATCCCTCTCGCAGTTGCCGCCAGGCCCACACTTCACGGCATCACAGTTGTCTGCAAAGAAGCAACCCGGACAGGTGGTAGAAGGTTGTAATATCATAAAAGTAGTCAGGTTTATATGACTGGATTATAAATGCAAGGCACCCTCTCTCTCTGTTTTGCACTCCTCCAACTCACCAGTGCAAGAGAGCTTGTCAAGGTTCAAAGAGTTGAATACACTTTCAACTCAGAAAGTCTTGCATGAAATATGAGCTGAAGGGAGGAAAGTTTTAAGGATTGGGGTCGATACGCAAAAGTTACGTCATCCGTGTTGCACTCCTCCAACTCACCAATGCAAGAGAGCATGTCAGAAGACGGCGTGAAGCCAGCGCTGCAACTACAGGATGGATCTCCGCTCGCATCCCTCGTGCAGTTGCCGCCAGGCCCACACTTCACCGCATCACAGTTGTCTGCAGAAGAAAACGACAATGAAAATGGAAGGATCAAGGGTCACAACATCAAGTATGCACGCAATTCAATAACATTCGCCACAAAATCAAGTTCTAGAAAGGCCAAGTTTCAAGGACTGGATTTGAAACGCAGCGCACGCCCTCTGTGTTGCACTCCTCCAACTCACCAATGCAAGAGAGCTTGTCAGAAGACGACGTGAAGCCAGCGCTGCAACTACAGGATGGATCTCCGTTTGCATCCCTCTCGCAGTTGCCGCCAGGCCCACACTTCACGGCATCACAATTGTCTGCAAAGAAGCAACCCGGGCAGGTGGTAGGATATTGTAATATAAAAAAGACAGTCATTACCAAATCTTGACAATGAGACGATGAGAATTATGCTGAGCGTCAGAAGCCTGTGTGTTGACCTATACAAAGATATCACAAATGGAGTTGGGTAATAAGATATCGTGCGATCGATAGTGCGTCTCACCCCCCCTGTAACACACAGGTATGGCTGTCTAGATGTTTCTTACCAGTTGGCACTGTAAATGATGAAAAGGGTCAACGTCCATGGGGGTTAGAACAAACGAAATTGCGCAACTAATAACTCCTATACCAGATTTGCAAAGCATTGCGCAACTAATAACTCCCTCCCTCCCTCCCTCCCTCCCTCCCTCCCTCCCTCCCTCCCTCACTCCCTCACTCCCTCACTCCCTCACTCCCTCACTCCCTCACTCCCTCACTCCCTCACTCCCTCACTCCCTCACTCCCTCACTCCCTCACTCCCTCACTCCCTCACTCCCTCACTCCCTCACTCCCTCACTCCCTCACTCCCTCACTCCCTCACTCCCTCACTCCCTCACTCCCTCACTCCCTCACTCCCTCACTCCCTCACTCCCTCACTCCCTCACTCCCTCACTCCCTCACTCCCTCACTCCCTCACTCCCTCACTCCCTCACTCCCTCACTCCCTCACTCCCTCACTCCCTCACTCCCTCACTCCCTCACTCCCTCACTCCCTCACTCCCTCACTCCCTCACTCCCTCACTCCCTCACTCCCTCACTCCCTCCCTCCCTCCCTCCCTCCCTCCCTCCCTCCCTCCCTCCCTCCCTCCCTCCCTCCCTCCCTCCCTCCCTCCCTCCCTCCCTCCCTCCCTTCGTCCCTCGCTCGCTCCCTCCGTCCCTCCCTCCGTCCCTCCCTCCCTCCCTCCCTCCCTCCGTCCCTCCCTCCCTCCCTCCCTCCCTCCCTCCCTCCCTCCCTCCCTCCCTCCCTCCCTCCCTCCCTTCATCCCTCCCTCCCTCCCTTCGTCCCTCGCTCGCTCCCTCCGTCCCTCCCTCCGTCCCTCCCTCCCTCCCTCCCTCCGTCCCTCCCTCCCTCCCTCCCTCCCTCCCTCCCTCCCTCCCTCCCTCCCTCCCTCCCTCCCTCCCTCCCTCCCTCCCTCCCTCCCTCCCTTCGCCCCTCCCTCCCTCCCTTCGCCCCTCGCTCGCTCCGTCCGTCCCTCCCTCCCTCCCTGATTCCCCCACCTATTATTCTTCCCTCTTTCCCTCACAACGTGTCTGGATGGTTGGTTATCACGCCAGTCTCACAAACTGGAGGTCTCCGGTTCGCTTCCGGGTTCAGACAGGTTCTTCGTCTCCAACACTCTTGTGCACATTTTGCCACACGAGGTATCTCAGCAGCGTACCTTGGATTGGCAGGTGCCATTCAACGCAGCAAAGCCCGGGTTGCACTTTTGAGGCGCCTCAAAAGTACCTTGGCAAGTGCCATTCCTTGCAACAAAGCCCGAATTGCATGCACAGGTGACTTTTGAGTCGACTCAGAAGGCAAAAGGAGAGACGATGTATCTCTAGCAGCATACCATGGCAAGTGCCATTCCTTGCAGCAAAGCCCGGGTTGCATGCACAGGTGACGCCCTTGCTGTCACTCGTTGGCATGCACGTGGAGTTGCTCGGACACGTGGCGTGCTGGCAGGTGACGTCTGCCATGTCATGGGGAGCAGCAGCAGCAGGGATGCGTGCAGCGAGGAAGGTAAAACCATGGGCATGGAGTTATTAACGCAAAACACTCGTTTGCAGATGCTGTGTGCGGCAAGGTGGCAAGGTGAGATGGTGGAAAAGGAGGCAAGGAAGCAAGGTGACAAGGAGGCAAGGAGGCAAGGTGACAAGGAGACTAGGAGGCGAAGAGGCACAGTGGCACGCACCAGACTTGCAGGAAACAGAAGTCCAGCGAGAGACCGTCTTTGTGCTGCAAGGACGTCAGGAGCACATTCAGATCAGACGTTGCGAAACACGTCTAGATCAGGCATTAGGAACACTATCAGAGAGGATGTTAGAAAAACGTTGGGCTGGCAAAACCCGAGGCTTGACAGTGGCATTGGTAGAGAACACTCACCCACCAGCCCCAATCACCCACCAGCCCCAATCACCCACTAGCCCCAATCACCCACCAGCCCCAATCACCCACCAGCCCCAATCACCCACCAGCCCCAATCACCCACCAGCCCCAATCACCCACCAGCCCCAATCACCCACCAGCCCCAATCACCCACCAGCCCCAATCACCCACCAGCCCCAATCACCCACCAGCCCCAATCACCCACTAGCCCCAATCACCCACCAGCCCCAATCACCCACCAGCCCCAATCACCCACTAGCCCCAATCACCCACCAGCCCCAATCACCCACCAGCCCCAATCACCCACCAGCCCCAATCACCCACTAGCCCCAATCACCCACCAGCCAACAGCCATCACCCGCCTGCCCTCATCCACCTGCGCCCATCCACGTGGCTCTGACCCACGTGCCCCCATGACCCACGTGCCCCCTAACCCACGTGCCCCCATGACCCACGTGCCCCAACGATCCACGTGGCCCCACGACCCACCTGGGCACGTTGAAGAATCTGCGCAGGCCGGCGTATTGCGGCTTGAGCACCTCATCCAGCGCCTTGCCCTTGCAGGCGGGGTTGGCAAAGAACTTGAGTTGCTTGCACGCCGCCCCCGCCTGCCCATCCGTGCCTGCCTCCTTCTCTCGCGAACCCCCTCCGCCCTTGCTACCGCCCTTGCTACTGCGGCCTTTGTTGCCGCCCGCAAGGCCGTTCCACCACACCTGCACGTCCCGCCCCGCCTTGAGAGCCCTGAGCGCGGCCTTGGGAAAGCTGAAGCAGCGGAGGGCGTCGAAGGTGACGTTGAGGCTGACGCCCGACACCGTGATCTGCGTGCCCACCGCCACGCTCGCCTCCACCGCCCCGCCGCCGCTGCCAATCCCCACGCCCACCCCCACCCGCGTGCTCCCGTTTCTGCTTCCCACTGTGCTTTCGATTCTGAGGCTTCTGGCAGACATAGCATCGGCTGCGCCGCCGACGCCGCGCACTCGCGCGCGCGCGATATTAGTAAGGCGATCCGCGCGTTCGCCTGCCGCCGCGTGAGCCGTGACGATCGCTGGATGCAGAGGGGCGGTTTAGGGTGGGAGGTGAGCGGGAGGGAGCGGAAGGGTGCTAGGAGGGGCAGATTTTCGCGCCTCTCAACATGAGAGAAAACGGAATCGAGCCGAAGTTAGACAAGGATGGAATGGCTTTCCGCAGATAACGGCAAGGACGAGGAAGAAGCAGGAGAGAGTGGACATGGCGACTCGAAGCTCACCGCAGATGACGGCAAGGACGAGGAGCAGAAGAAGCGCGGCGGGATTGGAGGCCATGATGGGTAGCACCCACAACCGAGTCACGAGTGTCGCGCGTTCGTCGACAACCGACAAGCTCTGGGTGACGCGACCGCTTGTCGCACGCCTCGTACGCACGGGCAATGACTAGCGCAATGCTAGGAAAAGATGGTCGTGATACAATATTGTTGAGATGGTACAACACGAGGCTAGTGGTAGATAATAGTAGCATACAGGTACATAACAGTAAGAACTTCTTAAAATGTGTTGGTAAGTAGCCTGCTGACGTTGCTATCATACAGCACGACAGATGCGGCGGAAGAGATGTTGCCATGGCTGCTCTGGCGGGTGGTTTATAGATGAATCCGGGAGCCTAACGCTCAAGGTTGACAGTCCCCGCAGGAGGCGCTAGTACTAGGAACGCGATCGTGTGGCTGGAATGGGTCGCATAGTTGTGACTTGTTGGTTCGGAGGCTTTGTGCTGAAAAACAAGTTGGCGCTGACTCGATGAAGCGAGGAACGCGGCGGCAGCTGATGAATGTTGGTAGAGCTTGACATAACTGAGGTAACAGCGTCGCAGCCTATCACAGCGCAAGCAGCTGAATTATTGCGAGTCTGACTCTGCCCGCAAGCTTCGCTGCTGTAACAAATTCGCCGCTCGCACGGCCTTTTCTCCCGCATGATCGCGCTTCCTGCGATCAGCCCTCCCTCGGCGATATTCGCAGAGAACTCTAGTGCGATATGCAATCAGGGGACAACTTCAGTTTTGACGAAATGCAGTGGGTACTCGGCAGGCGACAAAGGCAGGTCGCGATAGATTTGCGACATCTTCCTAGTTACGGGCATCTTGCTTACTGGCCAGCTCGCTTGCAGAAGTTGCTTCAAGTAGAGAGAACATAAAAATCACTAAATACAACAATAACATACTGACTGACACACAATATGTTCTCAAACATGTTCTCTAGCTCTCCAGCCATGGATCTTGTCAGGCTTATTAGAAGCTTCCATGCTAACCATTCAGTGGTTCTGAGTACACTACTAGTAGTACTGCAACTGTCTGAACAAGCTTCGCAAACATAACCCTTGGTTTGTGCCATCCTGTTCTAATGAAAGACTTTAGTGAGGCCCGGGACGGGACTGTTTTTTATTCGAGGAATTATGGTAACCAGATCAAATACGCTGTTATATCAGCCCTGCTTCCAACCTCCTAAACATAGCAATTTCTCCACTACATAAGTCAACTCCTCGTGTCGTGCCTAGAACACCTCGTGTTGTGACTGCCTGCACCAGTCCCTGCAAATACTGCCTGTACCTGTCCCTGCAGCTAATTCCCGCACCAGATGGAACTGATATTGCCACTAATCTCACCACTGCTTAGCAGTGAACCAGAAGGGGAGGGAAGGGAGTGAAAAGGAGGGAAAGGAAGAGTAAAAAGGGGAGGGGATGAAACAGTGGGAAAGAGGAGGGAAAGAAGTGAATGGCGATTGGTGCACAGAAAGCAAACAGTGGGAAAGGAGGAACGCAGGTGAGGGATACGTCAACAGAACATCTGGGGCATTGTTGTCTTTCCAGAATGACTTAGGTGACTCACTTGGTGAAGACTGTACAGTAAGAAACGGTTGAAAGAGGCCCCGCAGACACAAGTTTCCCAGAACTGTTGCTGCCCGCCCAGAGCCGGAAAGTGTTGCACCGCAGCGTGCCATTCATATTGTACACGCCGTATCGTGTCTTGTAGTTTCCAGCCACCTCCTTGGGAAGATCCGTGCACCCATCCAGGTTGGCGCGCACGGTGTACGGCCGGGATGCCTTGTCCAGAGCCTTGGGATCCTGGATGAGCGTTATGCTCGCTGCTCCCACTGTAGACTTGCCGCCTGGGAATACAAGGTGGAAGTGGAGCACATGTGGAGTAGTCGCTAAGTAAGGAGAGGGTTGTGAATGCGCTGACTCTGGATGTCTCTGGATGCCTCTGGATGCCTCTGGATGCCTCTGGATGCCTCTGGATGCCTCTGGATGCCTCTGGATGCTTCTGGATGCCTCTGGATGCCTCTGGATGCCTCTGGATGCTTCTGGATGCCTCTGGATGCCTCTGGATGCCTCTGGATGCCTCTGGATGCCTCTGGATGCCTGTGGATGCTTCTGGATGCCTCTGGATGCTTCTGGATGCCTCTGGATGCCTCTGGATGCCTCTGGATGCCTCTGGATGCCTCTGGATGCCTCTGGATGCTTCTGGATGCCTCTGGATGCCTCTGGATACCTCTGGATGCCTCTGGATGGCTGGCCTTCGGTAGGAATGTGAACCAGTCAACTGTGGATGCTGCCCGGATGCAACCACTGCAGCAAAGGTGGCAGTGCACTCAAGCCGCCCCATGCAGGCCCACTTGTGAGGCGCATGTTTAGTTTACATATGCAGTGGGATACATGCAGTGAGGCGCATGCAGTAAGGCACATCGAGTAAGGCACATGGAGTAAACCACATGATGCAGTAAGGCACGTGAATTAAGGCACCATGTCTCAGGGAAGTGGTGTCACACCTTCAATGCAGGCATCTTGGGTCATGCCATAGCCGTCAGGACACACGCAGTATGGAATCGGGTTGCCTGCCTTGGAAGGTGTGGTCTTGCAGGTGGCTCCCATGGGGCAATTGCCACACGGCGAGTCTAAAAGTGGCAGCATAGGCAAGAGAAGGTGCGGCAGGGCAGTAAAAAGACACACTGGGTTAGGTTGGGGACAAGGTTTGTTTTGTCACGAGCAAGTGTGGTCTTGCACCTGTGATAGGGCAATAGAGAGTGCGATAGGGCAGTGCAGAGTTACAATAGGTTCGTTGAAGATGCGCAAGGATGGGAAAACCTGAAAGGTGTTTTGGGTTGACTCAAAATGAGTCGTGCATTGAGTCGACTCAGAGCAGAGTGTGGTAGGGCAGTGCAGAGTCACAATAGACTCGTTGAAGATGGGCAAGTATGGGAAAAAACTGAAAGGTGAAGCGTTGCTGCCCAGCATGACAAGTAGTAAGACTCAATGCCGTGGAAAAAAGCATGACATTAACACCAGTCCGTGACAGGCCAGCCACACCATGGTAGCACATGCCCCCTCCCATGATGGCTGCTCACCCCATTTGTAGTAGCGCACATTCATGCCCATCTGCTTCAGACAAGTCCCACCCGGTGACTCAGGTGTCAACTCAAAAGTCACATGCCCCCTCCCATGATGGCTGCTCACCCTATTTGCAGTAGCGCACGTTCGTGCCCATCTGCTTCAGACAAGTCCCACCCGGCGAGCAACCCAAAGCCAAGCAGACAACATCTGAAACATAAGCACAGCAGATGTGACGTGTGCAGCCAAGGAAGGATTGGTGTGAAGATAGGATGGGAATCGGTATGAACACAAAATCACCTTTGAACACAGGAGCACCTTTGAAAACAGGAGAGCAATTGTTTCTGATGCAAGCGTCACAAGAAATGATCTGTTGCATTGAGGAATGAAAACGAGTCAACAGCAACAAAAAGAATGCAATCAAGCAACATGCGAACGTTGTGCTGAGATAGATTTTGGACAGGAGAACTGAGGCAACAAGAACAAAACACTGCAGGC